AGAGACGCGCAGACGTGAGGCTGTTGCGTCCCTCTAGTTGAGTGAGGGAGGGAGGTCACCAGTTGGCACAGCGTCTCCATAGAAACCACTCCTCGACCTCTGACCTCTTTTGGCCGCTGGTACCTGGAGGGAGGCCGGTAGACGAGGAGGCTTCTCTTGCGTCACGTGTCCTTCACCCTCCGGAGATGAGGAGGACGGCGAGGTGACCGGACACCGCGCGGGAAGGTCTCCTTTAAATCGGCCATCGAGGTAGAAGCGTCCCTTCCGATGCGCCTGGCGTCTGCGCGTCTTTCCGTATGCGCACCATAGCATGTTTTCCGACCTCTGAAAGCTTAGGTTTACGCACATGCGCGGCCGCCATCTTTCCCTTCCAGTCCCCCAGGATGGAGGAGACGCCTCTGCTGACGTCTTCGGTGACCCGCTCTTCTCTCGGTAGTCCCTGATGAAGTCCGGCCGGAGCGGGAACGGGACGGCGACGATTATTCCGCAGGGGGTCCCCTTCATGGTTCCGCTGCAGAGGTTCTACGTCAGTGATGACTCCATGTACCTCCAGTTGCAGCACATGACAGGTCAGTCATGTGACAGTTCCTGTTCCCAGCATGCCTTGCCTCCCATCCTCCAACCATCGGCCTCCCTTCCTTACAGGTGGCCGACTCTGGGACCACCTCAGGAAATCCCGAGCGCCAGACACCGTCCCCCATCCGGTGCCGGCGGTGCCCCCCTGCAGGGCCCATCAGAGCGTCAGCCAGGCGCAGCATGAACTAAGCGCGTCGCAGGACAGCGCCCCTCCAGCAGAGGGCGCCAACCCCGAGTCGCAGGTCCGATTGTGGGCGGCTCAGCTGGTGCTGGCGCTGGATAGTCTTCACCAGGAGGGGGTGCTGTGCCAGGATCTGAATCCTCGAAACCTTCTTGTGGGGGAAAAAGGTGAGACCCGTAACTCCCCAGTGATCCCGCCGCTCCCGCCTCCATTATTACCCCTGTGCAGTGTGATCACTCGGGACTCTCCCTCAGGTGACGTCTGTTTGACCTACTTTGGCCAGTGGCGGAAGGTGGACCATGTCTGCTGTCCGGAGGCGGTGGAGAACCTGTATGTGGCACCAGGTGAGACACGCAACCTTCCCCAGTCTCCTATTCATCTTCCCGGCATTCCCTCCGATCCCTACCCTGGTCAGCGCCT